AAGTTCAGCTTTAGATGTCTGACTGTGGGTTATTTAAGCCTTAGATTTTCTTCCCTCTGTTTTATTTAAAGGACAAAACGCTACCACCAGTTATCAGATGTGTATATACTTGAAGTTTCCAAGTTTGAAGTGCTGACAAAAGCTTCTGCATGTTGCAGGGTGAAGAGAGGTCTTCAGAAGTCTTGGCCTAAGTGGTCACAGGGCACCAGGAGCCCAGGACCACTTGGCTGGTTTCAGACCAGCTGGGCGGGCGGGAAGACGCACTGTCGTATTTGCTCAGTTACCATCAGTGACTACCTCTTTGTGTAAAATGGTAATGAGGCCATTAGGAGAGGCTCACCTGAAGTGCAGCTTGTGAATCCTAGGTAATTAAACACCTCCCGAATGCACTGGAAAGGCCAGGGAAGGTTAAGTGAGGAATAATCTGCGGCACAGGTGGCCCAAGGCCTTTGAGGAGCCAGAAGAAGAGAGACAGTGGCTTGCACCATTTCAAAGAATGGAAATGTCACCCTAGTCCCTGGGAGGGGCAGGATTTTTATTATTTGGAGGGTGGGAAATGGGCAATATTTTTAACATCTTAATAAAGCATATGTGCACTGCTGAATAGGAGTGTGGCCACTGTGGAAAAATGTAAGTGCCATCTGACCCAGTGATCCCACTTCTGGGAATATATCCTTAGAATCCCGAAACACCAATCAGAAAGAATATATGCACACCTATGTTCATAGCAGTATTATTTACAGTAGCTAAGATCTGGAAACAGCCCAAATGCCCATCAGTAGATGAATGGATAAAAAAGCTGTGGTACATTTACACAATAGAATACTATGCAGCTGTAAAAAAAAAAAAAAAAAGGAACTCTTACCCTTTGCAATAGCATGGATGGACCTGGAGATTATTATGCTAAGGAAATAAGCCAGTCAGAGAAAGGCAAGATATCACATGACCTCACTTATATGTGGAATCTAATGAACAAAAACAACTGATGAACAAAATGGAACCAGAGGCATGGATACATGGAACAGACTGACAGAGATCAGAGGGGAGGGGAGTAGGGGGGATGGGAAGAGATTAACCAAAGAACATATTTGCATATATGCATAGCTCATGGACACAGACAACAATGTGGTGAAGGCCTGGGGTGGAGCAGAGGGACAGGGGCTGGGCGGAGGGGATGAAGGGAGGTGAAATGGGGACATCTGTAATACTGTCAATGATAAAAAAAAAAAAAAAAAAAAAAGCATGTGTCTTTCACCTGGGTGCCAAGTGGCCTGCATTGTTCCTTACGGGTGCCCACCACTGTGGTGTTGGGTCTCATATATCCCAGAATACAGGAGGTCACAGTAAACCAGGTATTTACACCCAGGTATTAAGACAAAATCCAAACTTCTTCCGGAGGAAAATTGTTTTTCTTGGCTGGCCTCCAGAGATGGGGTGGCCACCCTCTCAGTGCATGTTCCTGTTACTTCTGACTTACCAGAGGAGGATGTCAGTCCTACCTTCATCCAGTTGACTGTCCAAGCATATGGCACACCCCCTCAGCAACAACACAGGATTTTCCCCCTATACCCAGTAAACACTTATTGATGGCCTACTATGTGCTAAGTACTGTGTTCTAGGTGTTCTTTTGGCTTATATATGAATATTTACAGCAGCATTATTTATAATTGCCCAAAGTAGAAACAACCCAGAAGCCCATCAATTGATGAATAAATAAATGTGGCTATTCCATACAATGGAATATTATTCACCTATGAAAAAGAATGAAGTATTGCCCTGGCCAGTTTTGCGCAGTGATTAGAGCATTGGCCCATGGACCAAAGAGTCATGGTTTCAATACCCAGTCAAGGGCATGTACCTGGGTTGCAGGTTCGATCCCCAGCCCTAATTGGAATCGTATGGGAGGCAACCAATTGATGTGTCTCTCTCACATGGATGTTTCTCTCTCTCCCTCTCTCTTCCCTCTTTTTCTCCCTCCCACTTTATCTAAAACTCAGTGGAAATGGAAATGTATCCTCGGGTGAATATTTTTAAAAATGAAGTATTAATAAGTGCTACAACATGGATGAACTTTGTTCATAATGAGCATTATGCTTAGAGAAAGAAGTCAGTCATATATATTATATGATTACATTTATATGAACTTCCCAGAATAGGTAAATCCATAAAGACAGAAAGTGGATTAATAGTTACCTAGGACTGGGGTGAGGAAGGAGGATTGGTGGGAAATGAGAAGTGACTATTAATAAGCTGAGGCTTCCTTTGGGGGTGATGAACATATTCTGGAATTAGATAATAGTGATCGTTGTACAACCTTGTTACTAAAAAACCCACTGAACTGTACACTTTGAATGAATTTTATGGTATGTAAGATATATATATATTTTAAGGCAATAATTCTCATGTGTCAGTACTTTTAATGTTGCATACATAAACTTAGAGTAAAAAGATGACTATAAACAAGATGTGGCCCCTCCATTTCCACGATCAGCACATTGCATCACAGGGAACCAAGATTATATTCCAACATCAAGTGTGGGTCTCCTATTAGTGCACTTTGTGGTGGGTCATTGAGAATATCCTCACATCCAACAGTCTCATCACTACCCCTCAAAATATCCAGTAAAAGGTGTGAGCTTGGAAGACACTGAACCTATTGCACTGCCTTGAATTCCATTTGAAATTTTAGTGGCGCAAACAGACCCTAGATGTTTCTCAGTGTGGGAAATTTCATTGTATCTTGGTTGAGCTGGAAATTTTTGTCTGATTATTCAAGAGGATGAATGGGCAAAAGTTCACTTTTCACACAGGAAAAACCTTTTCGAAGAAAAACATGACCTTGAAAAGTCCACTTGCAGAAGGTTCTGTAACTAGAATATTGTCCGTTAGCTGAGATCCAGGTCCTGTGGTATTCTTCTTCAGCTCTCTCAGCGAAGAGCCTCTCAGCCCTGTTACCATAAGATATATCTCAATAAGCTATTCAAATCCCTTATCAGAAGCTTAGTGCCCTGGCCGGTTTAGTTCAGCGGTTAGAGCGCCGGCCTGCGGTCCTGAGAGACCCGGGTTCGGTTCCCGCTAAGGGCATGTACCTCGGTTGCAGTTTGTCCCTGGCCCTGGTTGGTCGTGCGGGTGGCAGCCACTCGATGTGTCCCTTTCACATCGATGTTTCTCTCTCTTTCTGTTCCTCTCTCTCCCTCCCACTCTACCTGAACAAAAAATGGAAAAATGTCCTCGGGTGAGGATTAAAAAAAAAAAAGAAGCTTAGTAATAGGAAATAATGTTCATGGAACAATTCTAAAGGTATAAGTAGTCCACCTCAGATCCGTGATTGTTGATGGGTTTGGTTTGGTTTGGTTCTCAGGCACCTTTAGAATTCTGAGCAAAGCTATGGAACCTGTGCCCCCAAGTGATCAGTACTCGGTCATATTAAAAATGTGTAGACCAGCCGAATCTAGTTTTCTATTTTATTCTTAAATAACGCCAAGCCATTAGATAGCCTTTATCTAAGTTCCTAGTTCCTGAAATGTGCCCGTGATATGTCACCTGCATGTTTTAAAACAGTCATTAGCTTTACATTTCTCTCAAGATGAAGGGAAACAGTCCTTAGTATACTGACAAGCTCATTCCCCCTCATTCTCTCTACTGAAGCCAGTCCTTTCTGTTCTCTGGACTCCTTACCACAGGGTCTTTGCAAATGCTGTTCCCCGTGCCTGGTACACTGTTCCCCCACCCTTGGCCAAGGTGACTCCTTCCACTCGTCCTTCAGCTCTCAGTCCAAGCCTGTTCCCTCCAGGAAGCCTTCCTGTACCTCCGTGGTGAGCTCTGTCACAGGCTCATCACAGCAGCAATGGCACAGTATGGGTGTTTTATTTACGAGAGCGTAAGCTTAATGATGGCAGAGCTCTTATCTGGTTTTGTTCACCATGGTAGCCTCAATGCCTAACAGTCCCGGGCACTGAGTAAATAATGACTATTTGTTGAGTAAATGAATGACTCGAGGCTACCACATTGCATCATTCCAGGGACACCTTTCACGTGGAACACAGTATGAACGGTGTGCCCCGAAGCTGTGCAGTATGGCATCCTGAGATGAATGCAGGGCATATCAGAAACAAACCCGGAAGCTTGAAGCTGTCTCTGATGTTGAGGGCAACAACCATCACATAGTCATTCCTGCACTGGGGACTCATAGGGAGAATTGTATTTAGTTCCCACTTTCAAAAAAATCTGTGTTCAGTTGGGTAACTGGTTTGTTTGTAGTGCATGGACCCAAGAATCTCACAATGTCCTATGTATCCCTTTTTTGCTTTGACCACTAGGAGGCTCTTAAGTAAAAAATTCATTGCTAGCCACTGTGTCAGACCTTATTCCTGGCTACTTTTCCTATTGCCATGGCTTTCTTATCTATTTTCTTTTAACATATGTGTGCTTATCCATAAACTGCTACTATTCCTTTAGGTGTGAGCTACATAAAACATATATTTATTAATTATATATAACAACATATTATTATAAACAAGTAATTTATTTCTAATATTTGTAAGTAATTTGAGGAAGGACTGGAACTAGAACTAAAAATCTTTGTGTAGTTTTGGGTCAGATGACAAGGCTCCCATTCATGTTCCAACTTGGCCACTTCTTAGGTTTGTTCCCAGGCACGTGATCGAACCTCTCTGAGGCTGTTTCACCCTTGTAAGATAGGAACACTAATTTCTTCCTTGCAAGATTATTGAAAAAATTAAATTAGAAATTTTATGTGAAGCACTTACTTGGCACGTGGTAACTGCTTAGAAAGTGGTTTCATTTGTGTTTTCATTAGCTGTGCTCTCATAGAAGCAACACTGATTCCAATGTCAGAAACCTGCCCTCACACTGAAGGCATTTTTGCTCTCCCAGCAGCCGAGGTATCAAGTTGATCCCTGGCCAGGGATTTTCTAGAACCCTTAGCCAGCCATCCTCCAACCCTGCCCTCAACCTGTCTCCCTTCTCTCGATCCCCAGATCTCTTCACTGAAGAACCGGCTAAAGAAGGTCTCCACTACCACTGGCGATGGTGTAGCCAGAGCCTTCCTCAAGGCCCAAGCTGCTTTCTTCGGCAGCTACCGGAACGCTCTGAAAATTGAGCCGGTGAGTAACTTCTTGGCATGTTATAAACCCGTGTTTGGTCAGGGCTAAGAAACGTTCCTCAGAGACCACGAAAACACCACAATTTGCCTGGTTGTTGAATTCACCTAGAAGAGGTTGTGTGTCTGTATGGTGGGGGGCCAGGAGCATCCCCCCGTGCCCTACCTCCTAGCACAAGAAGCCGTGCAGCCAGGACTGAGACGCTCACTGCTCCTTTGAATGTTAAGCCCCCCTTCCCCTGCTGGACAGCAGCACTGAGCACTGATATATGCCGGCCCTTCACACGCATCTGCTCTCGCTGAGGATTCGCAGTAAGACCGACGTAGCAATAACCATCTACATTTTCCCAGTGTAGAAACTGAGGCTCAGAGAACAGACGTGACTGGCTAAGCAGTGGAGGAGCCAGTTGGTCCCAAGGTTCATGAGTTCCCACTGTTCCTGGATAGGGACCTCGTCTGCACACTTGAGAATAGAAAGCCTCCTGGGAATTCACTTCTTAGAGGCTCCCGGGGTGGTGTTGGTGTGAGTAACTATCCAGTATGCTAGGACTGGGAAGTAGTGTCATCCACCTCTGCGGCCCTTCAACCTTTCTGAACCCCCGCTGCCCATTCGTATCCCCTGCCTGCCCTGTGAGCTCCTTAGTTATCGTTAGGGTCTGAAGACATCAGGTCAACCCTAAAACTAGTGAAAGTACCAACTTCCCAGCTTCCATGAGAAGTTTGCATATGATGGCCTTGGCCAAGGAGGATGGAAAAGTTGGCCCGGGACCTGGGTCACTCCACGGAGGAGAGAACTTTGGAACCTTGCTGACAGGCCTTTCCTCAGGAGCACAGAGCTCCCTCCATCCTGAGCAGGTGAGAGGGCAGCCACAGCCAGCCTAGTTGGAGGGGTCGCACTGCCCATAGGGGAAGGGTGTTTTTTATTGCTATGACTCCATCATGTGTCTGAGACGCAGAGTAATAGCAGACACCATGTTTGTCTTCGCCCAGGACTTACTGTCTGTGAAATGGCCAGGGCAGTGGGTGTGCAGGGAGCTGCAGCCGAGTGCCACTACCTCCTCGCGTCTCGTCTTCCATCCAGCATTTAGACCTGACTTTCTAGGCCACCTCAGCTGCAGTCAGTGTCATGGTCACATAACAGAAGGGAGGCACCCTCCTCTGCTTCCTAAGAAATTCTTCCCTTAGGTCCTCTAATGTTCTGCTTGTCTCCAAGGGAGGTGGCTCTGATTCCTTGTCCTGACCTTGGACCCAACCAGATCAGCTAGGTTTGGTGTCATTTGAGAGCTGGTATAAATCAAGAAAAATTCTGTCGTCTTCCCATCTCTAAAATGAGGACGAGGCAACTGGCTCAGTCCTCCCCTTGGGGTGCCGAGAACTGACGGGCACGATGCGTTTCCACCCTCGCCATGGTCTCGTGGCTGCATGTACTTGGGTAGGATCTTGGTGCGCGTTGCTGGGCATGCGATCAGGCACAAGCTGCTCCTCTGGAGAAGTTTATGGTTGTACTTGCACGTGGCTCTGAAAGGTGTTAGACTTAAAGATGAAAGCCCTGGAGTTTGAAGCCTGTCTCTGTACTTCTAGGCTGTACCGCCTTGATCAAGCCACTTAATCCCTTTAAACTTCAGTTCTTCAACATGAAATACGAACACCTATCATTCTACATCTCCAGGTGGTCATAAGGATCCAATACATCATAAAACACAGGAAAAGTGAAACTTGACCTGGGTCTGATGGGTAAGGGTTGGGAAAAGAAAGACAGAATCCCTTCCTGTGGTGGGTGTGGAGTGAACTGAGTGAGCAAAGGCTTGGAGGCAGGGGTTCGGGTGGGGAGATGGGGCTGCAGGAGAACTTGGAGCCTTGGATGCCAGGCTGGGGGTGTGCACTTCACCCTGTAGGGAGTGTACGTTTTTGAGCAGAGATGCTGTGTGACTGAAGTCACGTTTGGACAGTAAAACAGTGACAGGCAGAAAGGGAAGCACGAAACGGAGACCATGGGAATTAGGGGAGCTCAGAAAAGAGCCCTCTGGTAGTTACACCAGGAAAAGGTACCATGAAGAAGAAACGACTAGATGAATATAGTAATAGATAAAAAATATGGAGACAATGGGCAAGAAATGTCTAAATGTCTCCCAAGATTTGGACCTGGGAGAGGATAATGATGCTCAAAGTAGAAAACAGGGGCCCTGGCCGGTTTGGCTCAGCGGTTAGAGCGCCGGCCTGCAGTACAGAGAGACCCGGGTTCGGTTCCCGCTAAGGGCACGTACCTCGGTTGCAGTTTGTCCCCGGCCCTGGTTGGTCGTGCGGGTGGCAACCACTCAATGTGTTCCTTCACATCGATGTTTCTCTCTCTCTCTCTTCCTCTCTCTCCCTCCCACTCTTTCTGAACAAAAAGTGCAAGGTGTCCTCGGGGGAGGAAAAAAAAAAGAAAAGAAAAGAAAACAGGGAAAGCTTAATGCAAAGGTGTTCCCAGTAGCAGTATTTATAATGGTGACAACATGGAACAGACTAAGTGTCCATAATAGGCAACTGCTTAAGTACATTCATACGACAGACTACTATACAGCCATTAAAATAGCACTTTGAGGATAGGGTGATGGGCTGGTTGTAAAATGGTACATTTCACTGAGTCTCAGTTGCTATTCAATCATAAGATGTACCACTGAGAAAGAAAAGCATCTGCCAATAATAATCGAAGCTGCCATCAGCTGTGAGACATCTGATTTCAGAAGGGTTACAGTGGGAAGAAATCTGTGTCTTAGAATCACTGAAATATGGCAGATTTGTCATGCTTTCAGTCCCAGTCACCTGTACCAGAATGGCTTTTTTCTATAAGGCCAAGAGGGAAGCCAGAAGGCCTGAAATTTTCTGACTGGGCATCATCACCACGTTGCCTAGATGGGTTTTAAACCATAGATTTAAAGCTGGCCAGTTCTCCTCATCCACAAAAATGGGATAACAACACTTCCCATACATCTCCATGTGTGCTCTGAATCATTTCCTTAGGCAGAATCCCTGACATGGGTTGACTGGGTCAAAGGATTGCGTACACCAAAGGCCTCTGATACAAAGGTGAGGAGAAAGATGGCGGCCAGAAGCAGGCATTGGCCGGACGGGAGCACCTCTGAGATGTTGCTGGGAAGGGTCCGAGCAGCAGCCAGCAGTGGGAGAACAGTCCAAGGTGGAGGGCCTTGTGGGGTGCCATACCCGGTGTGGTGTGTGGCTTTGTGCCTGGGCCAGGGGCTGCAGCTGTGAGACCTGGGTCACTGCAGTCACAGGGACTTGGTTTTTAAAAAGGAAACATGGTGGTCTTGACAATGGTGGTGTCTCTCTTTAGGGCCAGTGGAATAGGGCAGTGCTGAGGGTCAGAAAGTAAGACGTAGCAGCGGCTACGTCTCCTACCTGCTCAGCAGCCTCCCAAGGTCGGAGCTCGGTTCATCTCTCAGTTGCTTCATCTGTGATCTCAGTAATTCCCCACCACTGCCCCTCACTATCCATTTCACAGATGGGAGGTAGAGGCTCAGATCTGGGGGGACTTCCTGGTAAGCAGGAAAGCCAGGGGCAGACTCAGGTCGGCCTGACTCCAAACTCAGGTTCCTTCCACCACACCCTCTTGCTTGCCTTTGTTCTGGTTTCCACATGTTCCACTTCTAACTCTTTCCCTGCGTTCCCAGCAGCGGGCGTGGGGCATGGCATAGGGTAGGCATCAGTGAGCATATTTGGTAACAGTGGGTGGAAGGACGGGTGAGGGACATGAAGGCACAGGGAAGAGCGTGAGGCTGGGCGTTGCCCCGGGTCTCTGCTCAGTGTGGACACATTGCATCCCGTCCTCTCTGTAGGCTTTTGATTCCTGCTGCCTGGCAGAGGGGACAGTGTCTGCAAATCACAGGGCACGTGACCCATTTTTCAGTCACCCGAAGAATATCAGGTGCAAAGCCCAAGATATTTAACAATATCGGCCAAGCCAACCTGTTCATCTCCACTTAAATGACAGAACCACAAGCAGCCAGGCAGCTCCATTCGGAAAAACCCCCTTTATCCATGTCAAGCGCAGCCAGGCTGCAGCTCATTTATTTAGGCCTTTCTTGCTCTCTGACACGCCTCCTAGCAGTTGCCAGGCAACTCTGGGAGTAGCAGTATGTGTTAGGGATTAACTAGTTAGGGCTGGGGTCCTTTTTGGCAAGATGAGGATAAAAGACAAATGATTTTAATTGCTAGGCCAAGGATCCTTTCTCAGCTTGGTGGACGATTGCAACTTTTGGAGGATGTGTATAGTAGTGTGGTTCTTGAATTTGCCTTGAAAGTTTCCCTTTCTCCTGCCTATAGAGAACAAATGAATTTTAACAAGACTTTTACTTTTACTTCTTTGTTTAAAACTATGTCATCATGAAATCTGAATAAGACGCCCACCGCCCTCTCTTTGAAAGACATTTCATAGCACAGTAGCCTTAGTTTAAAGAACTTTCAAAAACAGACTATGTCTTCTCATTTCATCCCTTTTTCTGTTCAGAGTTTCTTATTTCATAGCTCATGTTACCTGGAGTCGTCTTAAGACAGTATGTGTGAAGGTGCCTGTCCCCACATCCGTCCACTGCAGGTCCTGGTAAATGCTGGGTCAGAAAGCAGAACTGATGGTTGTTGGTGCTTTAAGACACATCCAGTTCCATGCCAGCATCCGTGGGAAGGCCAGTATAGATGAGCACGCTGAGGTTGTTTCTTCGGCAAGCTCGTGCGGCTCTCTCCGGGCCGACCTGCTGGCTGGGCATCCCCAGGACGAGTAGAGCACAGCCCCTGTCCGCAGGGAGTGGATGCTGGGCTGAGGGCATCAACAGACAGAGTCTGTGAGGGAGGCTGTGTGGCAGCAGCCCCCTCCTCCAGTCCTGCTTGCTCAGTTCATCCCAAGAGACCTGGCTTCCAGAGTCAGCTGTGGCTACACCAGCATCATCTCCCTTACAGCCCCTGATTGTGCACATGATTCTGCTGAGTCATATTTATCCACCTAAAATC